CAATGTGCAATAATATGCCAAAGTTTCAAAGAGTTTGCGTTTGTTGAATGCGAGAACGATGAGTTTTAAAATCGTTTCAGAACTTCCGGAACACCCTTTATAATCTAATGTCTAGCAGGTCAAGTTTTATAAAGCCAACGTGAATCAAGAGGGATCCTTTGATCAGTCTAAATACAAAAATGTACCTCATGCCGTGTTTCAAGATCAGAAGTCCACAGACTGAATTTTACATATGTTGTGTAACTTTTTTTTCTCTGCAAAATGGTAAAAAATTAAGAAACATTTTCTAATCGGTGTGAAACAGGGCTTATATCTACTTATTTTTGATGATTTTCGGTGATTTTTCAATAGAAAATCAACCTTTTCAGCGATTTTCATTACTATAACGCAATGCTGAAGCAGAATAGATATCATAGTCGGAATCAGCGTCAAAAGCTGCATCTGATCATATATATTTTAGCGAAATTTTTCTCCTGTCCAAAACTGACCTGTGGGGGACTACAGGTCAGTTTTAGGTAGAAAAAGAAATTGAATGAAACAGATGTGATTCAATGGAGTTTTTGACGCTGATTCCGACTATGATATCTATTCTGCTTCAACATTGCATCATAGTAATGAAAATCGCTGAAAACGTTGATTTTCTCTTGAAAAATCACCGAAAACCATCAAAAATGAGCAGATATAAGCCCTGTTTCACACCGATTAGATAATTCTTTTTGAACGTCTTTACCATTCTGTAGAGAAAAGAAGTTACACAACATATGTAAAATTCAGTCTGGAGACTTCTAATCTTGAAACACAGCATGAGATACATTTTTGTATTTAGACTGATCAAAGGATCCCTCTTGACTCATGTTGGCTTTATAAAACTTGACCTGCTAGACATTAGATTATATCAATATAACCACAAAAAATTTAAATGATCTGCTGAAATGCAAGCTGATACATCTTTTATGGGTTATTTTTTCTTGCTTTTTCTTAAAAACGTATGATAGTGCTAAAAGTCAGTATTGGCTAACTTTCCATAGGAAGGATATTAAAACCTAAAAGTTGGGGGTTGATGGTTTTAGATATTGATACTTTGAATGAGCAAAAAAAATCCAAAAAAAATTTTTTATCGAGTGCCTCGTATACTCGATCTCCTCATGGCCGCTCTCTTGATTAGGTATATGTAATCAGAGACGACAGCGTAATTATCAATTAACTTCGTTTATAAATAGATAACCATGATTCTTAGCTATTTGTTATCTTGAGTGTAGAAAATGATATGAGGTATAGAAGATGAGTATAATCTAGATGGCGTCTTAAAATTGCATATTAAGAAATTTACTAGAAAGATAAATGAAAAAATAACTGATGGGGAACTTTTCCAAGTGTGAAATGACTTTTCGATCGAGAAGATGTTCAGTTGATGAGTACTAGAAAAGTCCAGAATGGTTTAGTTTTCCGGACCATCATCCTTGAAATATCGAAATTTTACTGTACTTCATATTCTCCAGATGGCGTGGAAAATCGACTGTCGGGTTTCAATTTCAAAACTTTGCATCACGAAAAAAATTCTTTGTGAGAATAGTTCATTGTTTAACTAGTGTTTCATCTCTCGAGATGTAAATATATGAATAATATTTGCTTGTACACAAGAAAGAATTTGAATATTTCAAGGTGGTAAATACTGGAAAAGTTATAATATGTCCAATAAACTAATCTCATTGAGAACTTTACTCGTGCATAGTTTGAAGTCGATTTTGTATGTTACCGAAGCAGGACTATAACGGTTTCTGGAAAAACCCAGTCAATTTTCAATATCTTGAGAATAAAGATCGCGGAAAATCAGGCCATTCTAGACATTTCTCATACTCACTAGTACTCATGAAATCAACATCGTCTCAGCCAAAAAGAGACTTGATATATGAAGAGGTTCCCTCGTGATCTCTTTCACTATATTGAAGATCTAAATTTATCTATCTTTCTTTGGTTAAAAAATAATTTTCCAATTCTCAATGATAATCTATTTTTGTTTCAATATTTTAATTAAATTGTCAGTTGAAATAATTCTCCCATGAATGACAATTACCATTGATCGAATACAACATTAATATTTATTAAAAAACCGTACAACTATAAAAACAATAATTCAATAAATTTCGAAGCTAAATCTTTATTCTAGTCGTGATGCTGAACATAAAATACAACGAAAAGTGTTTGATGGATTTTGGTTGGTACAAGTAGAACATTCCCATGAATCCTGGAAAATTCATTCGACAAAATAAAAAAAAAGTATTGTTTTAATCTAAATCAAATAAACTTACATTATTCTTAAATTTCTTTGAATGTTCTAATAAAAATAAAACAAATAATGAATTTGGTCCAACTTTTAAATCTCTCATAGTCGAGTTATCATGAACTAAATTACCATTAACAAAAAAATATTGATTAAACGCAGAATAATAATAAGCAAGTTCGAACTAGAAAGAAAAAAATTGTTAATAATAAAAAAATCTTATTTTTTTTTTAATATACTGCCGCACGTAATTCTCGAACTGTAGTTGATGGAAAAACGTCAACAGAAATAGTTCCACCATGTTGATCAACACCATATTCATCACCATCAAATTGAACAAGAATTCTATTATAAAAATAAAATTAATAAAACAAAACATTAAATTATTATCTTGCCGAAATTCAGCTTCATCTTTTAATCGTATTACTGAGTTTTCTTGAAGTCGAATACCTTGTGAAGCAAGTTTCTCAGCCATATTTGCAGCTTCAGTAGCATTACCTTGTTGTATAAATTTGCTCAAATTATGAACATTGATGAGGATATCTAAATCAAATATGTTTATGAAAGCTTTTCTTTTTCTGATCAGACCGTACACTGTAGTCAGTATTTGGTAATATATTCTTGAATAATAAATTCTACATATTTGAAACTTCTTAGACAAATTCGATAATTGTTTTTGTGTACTCAAAAAGTGAGTACACTCTAGAATCGGTCAGTGTGTCCGGCCGTCCGGCCGTTAACACGATAACTTTTGAAAGGAGAGTCCGATCGCGATGAAATTTTCTACACAGTTCAGTCTTAACAAGATCTCGGTCGAGTTCGAAGATGAGAAGGATTGGTGGAGCCCTTCCTGA